TAAATATCTTACCTAATAATAGACAAACATGGTAATTGACCGTACCTTTGCTATGCCTCCCATTGGCTAATCAGCATGATATGCAAATTAACTGCCAACAAAGATGGCGGTTAATTTGCATAATAGGTTCCAAGTGGTGGAGCGAAGTCTGCCGGCCCGGGGCGGAGTAGCAAGGCCACATGGCCCTGGGACTGGCAGAACAGTGAGGCATCACAGCCCTGGTGCCAGGCGGAGCAGCGAGACCACAGGGCCCCAGTGCCAGGCGGAGCAGCGAGGCCACAGGGCCTCAGTGCCAGGCGGAGCATAGAGGCCTCACGGCCCGGGGCCTGCCAAGCAGCAAAGCCTGATGGCTCCAGGGTGGCTCTGGCCGGAGCCCAGCCAGAGCGAAGATCTGGGTCCCAGGTGCGGGAGAAAAACCAGTGCCAGCAGCCAAGGGAAGGGAAGGCCTTGCACAAATCTCTACGTGCAACAGGCCTCTAGTATAAAATAAATATCAAAAATATAAATCTTTGTTTTACTATGGTTGCAAATATCAAAAAATTTCTATATGTGACACGGCACCAGAGTTAAGTTAGGGTTTTTCAAAATGCTGGCACGCCAAGCTCAAAAGGCTCGCCATCACTGGGCTAGAGCATTATTTTTTTCTCCCGCAATTGTCTCCACCCTTTGGTGTCCAGCCTCTGACACAGTCTCTGAAAAGCTTCAGTTTCCAGCACTTTCCCCATAACAGAACCTACGTGTCCCCACTACGCTGGCCCTAAGGACACATCCCATTTGGGCCTTGAGTACAAATCACTTGTTTAAACTCCCAAATGTTTCTAGCCAGTTCCAGGCCAGATTTAAGGGTACCTTTCCACTCTTCTCCCTCCAGTGACTAGAAATGCTTTTTGTTTTAAACAACCAAGAAAACAACCTCAGCCAGAGGCATCACCCAGGGGATTTTATCTACAAGGGCCTCAGGCCAGTAATGAGACTCGTTTGGGTGCTACTTATATGCACTGCAGTGGCACTTGGGAGTCCTGTGATAACAGGAAAGAAGATCAAGAGTAAAATGATTAGCCAGAACTTTGGAATTCTGTTGTTTTTATAAAGGGCCACATGGTACAGAAAGTGTGGTTTTACAGGTCTGATTTTCAGAGGGGGTATTTTTAACAAGGCAGATGGCTCTCCCAGTCTCAGTCCCTTCTTAGGATGATCTTATAATCACTTTTGCTAAGGAGGGGATTCAGGGTAGGATTGATGTTGTGGTTACTGTATCTAGAGAGAGGATGATAAGCAATGGTCACTGGGAGATGTCAGCATCTTCTCGTGGTGTTTGGTGCTGTACAAAACTCCATTTTTGGATTCAAAGCATCCTGGCCTCCCCAGACTTCTTGGCCTTCCCACAAACTTCCTGTATGGCCTACTTTCCATGTTTAACCTGTGTGACAGCGGGGAGAAGCACCCTGTAGGCCTAGAGAGTGCAGGTGGTTTTGGGGTGACACGGTGACTCCTGGAGAAATTCAGGCTGAGGGCTGCCTCCCTGCCAAGCTGGGCAGCTCATCACCAAACTCTTGAGCCCAGAAAACTATCTCAGACTCTAAGGGCCCCTTACCAAGTCTACTTGCCAAAATGGAATTCTCAAAAGTAAGTCGCCCTGGCTGGTTAGGCTCAGTGGATGGAGCATCGGCCTACAGACTCAAGGGTCCCAGGTTCAATTCCGGTCAAGGGCATGTGCCTTCGTTTCTGGCACATCCCCAGTAGGCGACATGCAGGAGGTGACTGATCGATGTTTCTCTCTCATCAATGTTTCTAATTTTCTATCCCTCTCCCTTCCTCTCTGTAAAAAATCAATAAAATATATTTTAAAAAAAAGTTGCAAGTCAGTGCTGTGTGCTAGAAGGAAACTTACACCTTTGCTTTTTCTTTTTCCCAAGAGAAGAACTTTTCATACTTGGCTTCTGAAAGCCAAATAGGATGTATTAAAGGTTTTAATAGCGCCACTGCTTATGTGATTACAGTCTCTAACTGAAAGACATTGGGAAGATGTTTGTTGGGATGTGATGCCGTGATTACTATCTTAAAGTATAGACTTATCATTAGAAATGAAGGATATTTTCTAATGGAATTCACAAGTATTTTAGTGTGTGAAGGCTGATTGGTTAATGACTTAAACATTTTTTTTAATCCTCACCCCAGGATATGTTTTGAGAGAGAGAACATAGATGTGAGAGAGAAATAGCAATTGGGTGCCTCCCATTAGCACCCTGACCAGGCATCAAACCCAAACCCTAGGTATGTGCCCTGACTGGGACTCACACCCACAGTCTTCTGGTGTACAGGATGATGCTCCAACCAACTGAGCCACCTAGCCAGGGCTGATTAGTTAATGATTTTAAAAGTTGTATTGTAATATTAATGAGGAAACTTTCATAGTAAGAAGCCTTAATTCTTTTACACTCACCATTTTGATTTTAGGGAGAGAATGGTGTTCATAAGGAAGGAATACCTTTGGATCACAAGCAGAGAAATAAGGCAGATGAAAGTGGGTCATGCCAGACTCAAATTTCAGACTCTCCTGCTGATGCTACCACACCCACAGGACTTTCAGGTAAAGATTATTTGACCATTCTCTTGAGCTCTTCCATCTTAAAATACACATATACTCGGCCCTGAGCTATTGGTTGCACAAGTTAAAATTGGCCAGCAAATCAAGGTGCATGATTTCTTAGTTATGTATCAGATGATACTGATAATACTTCATAAGTCATCTTGCCTCCCTAGCCGGTTTGGCTCAGAGTATCCATCTGTGGACTGAAAGGTCCCAGGTCCAATTCCAGTCAAGGACACGTGCCTCGGTTGTAGGCTTAATCCCAGCCCTGATTGGGGCATGTGCAGGAGGCAACCAATCAGTGGGTCTCTCTCGCATTGATGTTTCTCTCTTTTTCTCTCCCCCTCCCTCCACTCTCTAAAAATCAATGGGAAAATATCCTCGGGTGAGGATTAACAACAATAACAAATTAAAATAAAAGTCATCTTTCCTTCACTTTGCCTGTTTTCCTACCTTGTTTATTCCTAATTTACTGAGTGCCCTCTATGTGCCATGTACTGTGCTAGACCCTGGGGATGAAACAGAGACCAAGCCAGACAGACAGACACATAACTCCTGCCTTTGTGGAACTTAGACTGGGAGGGTTTAAGGCAAACATGCAGGTAACTGTAATTTGAGATGGAATGGGATTCTGGTCAGCAGAGAAGGGTAACAGCTCTGCTCACCAGGTGGTTGAACGTTGACCTATGAACCAGGAAGTCATGGTTCGATTCCTGGCCAGGGCATATGTCTGGGTTGTGGGCTCGATCCCCAGTGTGGGGCATGCAGGGGGTAGCTTGTCAAAGAGTCTCTCTCTTAATTGATGTTTCTATCTTTCTATTCCAATGGCATAGTATGTTAAAAGGCAGTTAAACACTGTGAGCACAAAAGAGCAGGGCCAGGGGAATGTGGATTAAAGAAAGGATGGGAAAGAGAAGGGTGGGTGGGCTCTACATGTAATATGGCGATTAGGGTAGGCCTCCTTGACCAAAACATACATGTTCAAAAATAAGTTTTTAAAGTCCCAGCTTTGGCCCTGGCCAGTGTGCTCAATGGTTAGAACGTTGGCCTATGCACTAAAGGGTTGTGGGTTTGATTCCTGGTCAAGGACATGTACTTGGGTTGCTGGTTTGGCCTCTGCCCCCAGTCAGGGCATGTGCGGGTTCACTCTCTACCCCCAGTCAGGGCATCTCTCTCACCACATTGATGTTTTTCTCTCACTCTCCTCATCCCTCCCTCCCTCCCACTCTCTCTGAAAAGCAGTGGAGCCCTAGCTGGTTTGTCTCAGTGGATAGAGCGTTGGCCTGTGGACTGAAGGGTCCTTGGTTCAATTCCAGTCAAGGGCACATGCCCAGGTTGCAGGCTTGGACCCCAGTAGGGGGTGTGCAGGAGGCAGCCAGTCAGTGGTTCCCCCTCTCCCTTCCTCTTGGGGGGAGCGGGGTAAGGCAATGGAAAACAATATCCTTGGAGGATTATAAATAGATAGATAGAGAGATAGAGAGATAGAGAGAGAGAGAGAGAGAGAGAGAGAGAGATAGATAGATAGATAGATAGAAGTCAAGTCCCAGCTTTGTTCTGTAGCTGCTCAGGCACAATGCAATGGTTTACTTGCCTCTTTGTACATACATAGAAGCTGACAAAATCTGAAAGTTTGGTATTTTATAACTCAGATGCTGACAATTTAGGAGCATCATCCCAGAAGCCGGTTGAGGAAAAGACAGTTACTCCAAGCCCCGAGCAGGTGTTTGCTGAGTGTTCCCAGAAGAGGATTTTGGGGTTATTAGCAGCCATGTTACCTCCCTTAAAGTTGGTAAGAGACAAATGGCATTTTCTTTTTAAAAGAGCAGTGGTATTATGCATAGAATAAGTGTTTTGTAAGCCATATACTAAAACCAACTCTTATTAGCAGTCATCTATGTGTTCCTGAGGGTAGGGTTATAAATTAAAGTAGGATTGTAAGATGATACCTAAGAATGTATTTTATAATTGATTGAACGTAAGCCATTTATGAAAGATACTAGAGGCCCAGTGCATGAAAATTCATGCACTGGAGGGGGGTCCCTCAGCCCGGCCTGCCCCGTCACAGTCCAGGAGCCCTCAGGGGCGGGAGGCGACCCGGCATTCAGGGGGAGGTGATGCCCCCATCACACCTCTGCTGCTGCCACTGCTGGCAGCGCAAGCCTTGGCCTGGCCTGGTTACCTGAACCTCAGGCAGCCCTGGGTGGTTGGGCAGCCACCATCCAAGGCTTGCCTGCACCCCGGGCTGGCCCTGGGGGGCTGGGGGTGTGAGGGGACTGAGGGATTCTGGAGGCAGGGACGTGGAGTGCCTGCTGCTCCAGCGGGGCTGAGGGGACTGGGCGCTGCCATCTTGTGGCTGTGGCAGTCAATTAGCATATTCCCTCCTCATTGGCTGTGGGTGCCACCATCTTTGAGGGCATCTCAGTCAATTAGCATATCCCCTCCTTACTGGCTGTGGGCACTGCCATCTTTGAGGGCCGGGAAGTCAATTAGCATATTCCCTCCTTATTGGCTGTGGGTGCCGCCGTCTTTGTGATGGCGTGATGGTCAATTAGCATATCCCATCTTTATTAGATAGGATTGCATAATTCCTTTGACACTAGGATAGTTGTAAATAAAACATGAAGGGAATGGAGTCTTTAGTTGGTGATTTTATGTGGATTTTGTATTGAACAGATTTTTCTCCCTCTCTTAGCAGGATCCCACAGTCCCCCTGATAGACCTGGAGCACGTCCTCCCACTCATGTTTCAGGTTGTCATCTCAAACGCAGGCCACCTGAATGAAACTTACCACCTCACGTTGGGTCTTCTTGGCCAGTTAATAATCCGCCTTTTGCCATCAGAGGTAGATGCCGCAGTGATCAAGGTCCTCTCAGCCAAACACAACCTATTTGCTGCAGGGGACAATTCCATTATGCCAGATGGCTGGAAGACCACCCACCTACTCTTTAGCCTGGGAGCTGTATGTCTGGACAGGTAGCCACCCTCACTCTAATCCGCCTTGGTGTTCATTTCTTTAAGTCAATGGTCTGGCTGTTGATTAATATCAGTGTGCTTCAGTGCTATTGTCCAGGAATCTTTTGTGGGAATAGAATTACTTTTATTAGCAACTAGAAGCCCGGTGCACAAAATTTGTGCACTGGAGGGGGGTTGTCCCTCAGCCCAGCCTGCACCCTCTCTAATCTAGGACCCCTCGGGGGATGTCTGACTGCTGGTTTAGGCCTGATCCCTCTCACAATCTGGGACTGCTGGCTCCCAACCGCTCACCTGCCTGATTGTCCCTAACTGCTTCTGCCTGCCAGCCTGATCACCCCCTAACCCCTCCCCTGCCAGCCTGATCAACGCCTAACTGCTCGCCCCCTGCTGGCCTGATCGCCCCCAACTGCTCTCTCCTGACAGTTATTATATTCCCAAGTATATTATTCCCATCAATGGCCTGATCACCCACAACTGCCCCCACTTCCGGAGATCTTGTGGCTGCGGGTGCTGCCATCTTAGAGGGCAGAGCAATTAGCATATTCCCTCCTTATTGGCTGTGGGCGCCATCATCTTTGAAGGCAGGGTAGCAATTAGCATATTCCCTTCTTATTGGCTGTGGGTGCTGCCATCTTTGCGATGGTGTGAGGGTCAATTAGCATATTCCCTCTTTATTGGATAGGATGTTGTCAATAGACATTAAATTATGCTCAAAACCCACATTAAAACAGCTGTTCAGCCTGGGCACGCTGATTCAACTCCCTGGTTGGTTTGTTTCTCCTGAGAGCAGGAAGTATAGGCTTTGAGGCTGAAGAAAATAGATCTGTTTTCATTATAAATGTAACAATCACAATACCAAATTTGTAAGACAGAAATGAAGACTAAAAATCATCCTGGCTCACACCATATTAAGGGTGCTGGGTTTTTTTGTTTTGTTTTAATATATTTTTATTGATTTCAGAGACAGGAAGGGAGAGGGAGGGAGAGAGAGTTAGAAACATCAATGATGAGAAAGAATCATTGATCTGCTGTCCCTGCATGCCCCAATCTGGGGATCAAGCCTGCAACCCAGGCATGTGCCCTGACTGGGAATCAAACCTAGTTTATAGGTCAGCGCTCAACTATTGAGCCATGCCAGCCAGTGTGGCTTGGTGGTTGAGTGTCGACCCATGAACCAAGAGGTCGCCAGTTCCATTCCGTCAGGACACATGCCCAAGTTGCTGACTCGATCCCTGGTAGGGGGCATGCAGGAGGCATCGATCAATCTTTCTCTCTCATTGATATTTCTATCTCTCTACTCCTCTCCCTCTCTCTAAAATCAACAAAGACATATAAAAAAAACTAGATTTAAAATATATATATGTGTGTGTATATATATGTGTGTATATATATACACATACTTCTTTCCAACAACAACAAAAAGAAATAAAAATCAACAATATATATATATATCAATATATATATATATATATATTTCAAGCTTTTTTTTCTGTCATGAATATGCACAAGCACACAAATGTGTATAAGTTTTTATAGAGATTTAAAAAAACATAGCTGTAGACAATATGTAACAGATCTTGATTCCCCTCTTCCCCCCTCCACTTACTATTATATGAAAAGCATCATTCTGGTAGTTTTTAAATTAACTAATGAGCCCTAGCCAGTTTGGCTCAGTGGATAGAGCGTCGACCTATGGACTAAAAGGTCCCAGGTTCGATTTTGGTCAAGAGCACATTTCCAGGTTGCGGGCTCGATCCCCAGTGGGGCGCGTGCAGGAGGCAGCTAATCAATGATTCTCATCATTGATGTTTCTGTCTCTCCCTCTTCCTTCCTCTCTGAAATAATTAAAAATATATTTAAAAACACTAATGAGTGGTTCTTTGGTATGCTTCTGGATCTGCTTTGGAGTGTAGCAAACTTTGCTGAGTTTAATTTGGAGCTTGTGCACTCATGGAGCTCTTGCCTTCCAGCCGGGTGGGTTTGGACTGGGCGTGCTCCATGGCAGAGATCCTGCGGTCACTCAACAGTGCCCCGTTGTGGCGTGACGTCATTGCCACCTTCACAGACCACTGCATCAAGCAGCTGCCTTTCCAGCTGAAGCACACCAACATCTTCAGCCTGCTAGTGCTGGTTGGCTTTCCCCAGGTACATCCCTCTGAAGGCCTGTCCACCTCTTTCTGTCTTCAGCACACACATCAAAGTTTCTATAGCATATATCTTTGGAATTTTTCCCCCTGTTGTATAATAGCCTTTATATAATATTGATATATTTTTAAGATTATGGGATGATTTGTTTAACTTGCATTTTCAATAATTTAGTCATTTGATTCATTTTGCTAGCCAGTAGTTGGCTTTGAATAATAGTAACTATAATACAGTAAATTACAAAGCACTTCAAAGTACAATTGTTTTTCACTTTGGCATTCATTTTGATCTCATTTCTAATCTTCATATCTCTCAACTGGTTGGGACAAAGAGGACTGTGAAATCATGGATTCTTTATCCAGCAAGCACTTAAACCAGTTCTGTGCCAGGCCTGTGTCAGGCTCTGGACTTGGAGATGGGAAGAGCCCCATCCTTGAATGCTTCTTGAAGTCAGCACACAAGCAAAAGGGACTGGACTTGTGTTTAATTAAGTGCTTTTTCCTGTTTCTTTGTGCGACTGATTTGCTTTATCTGTCTCTCTCTTTCATGTTGTAGGTTCTCTGTGTGGGGACCCGCTGTGTTTATATGGATAATGCCAATGAGCCACATAATGTGATCATCTTGAAGCACTTCACTGAGAAAAACAAGGCTGTGATTGTTGACGTCAAAACCCGGAAAAGGAAAACAGGTCCTAGTCATAATTATTTCTTCTAAAAATGGAAGGAAGTTGTATAATCTCTGCATATATGTTTTATGGTCATATTGAAACAAGGTTCCATGTGCACTTGAAGAAAATATATATACTTGTGTTGTTGGTGGTGTGTCCTTTTGACAGCATTTAGGTCAAGTCAATTGATAGTGTTGTTTAAGTCTTCTATGTTCTTACTGATTTTCTATCCTTACAATTACTGAGATAGAAATGTGTGGAAGTTTCCAACTGTAATTATGTGTATGTCTATTTCTCATTTCATTCTGGAATGTCCCTTTTTATCTCTGATAATATTCCTTGTTCTGGCTATCTACTTTAATATTTATGTGGCCTCTCTAGTTTTTTTTTTGTTACTAACATTTGCATGGCATATCTTTTTCCATCCTTTCACTTTAATCTATCTGTACCTACATTTAAAGTGGATTTCTTATAGATAGCACATAGTATAGTCTTCATTTTTAATCCAATCTGACAATCCTTGCCTTTTAATTGAGATGTTTAGACCGTTTACATTTAAAAACAGTTATCAAGATAGTTGAGTTTAACTCTATTCCTGATTTTTAAAATTATTTATCTTGTCTGTTCTTTGTGCCTTTTTTTTTTCCTCATCTTCTGCCTTTTGGATTGAGTTTTTTTTATTTCATTTTACCCCTACTATTGGCTTGTAAACTATAATTCTTTATTTATTTATTTTAGTGATTGCTCTAGGGCCATGGTCGACAAACTGCGGCTCGCGAGCCACATGCAGTTCTTTGGCCCCTTGAGTGTGGCTCTTCCTAAGCCTTAGACTGTGGCTCTCAAAAGAAATTTCAATCGTTGTACTGTTGATATTTGGCTCTGTTGACTAATGAGTTTGCCAACCACTGCTCTAGGGTTTACAATAGTTTACCTTCAAATAATTTTTTAGTGGTTGAGATACGGTTTATAATATTCACCCTTAACTCATCATAGTCTGCCTTCAAATAATAAATATTGTACCACTTCACGTACAGTGAAGACACACAGATTTTATCCTTTTATCCCCCATCCTTTGTGCTACTGTTGTCACAAATTTTACTTCTATGTGACATAAACATACCAATACATTATTTTTGTTTTAAAAAGTCAGACACTTTAAAAGACATTTAAAAATGAGAAAACAATGTTTTTCATGTTTAGCCATATGTTACCATTCCTGGTGCCCTTCATTCCTTTGTATAGGTTCAGATTTCCATCTGGTATTTTTTCTTTAGCCTGGTAAACTCTCCTTAACATTTCCTGTAGTGAGAGTCTGCTGCTACAAAGTCTTTGTTTTGGTTTGTCCTACCAAATCAAAGGAATATTTATTTTGACTTTATATTTGAGAGATAATTTTATTGAGCAAAATATGCTCACCGAGAGGTTTTTGTGTGTGAATATTTTAAAGATATTGATCCATTTTCTTTGGGCTTGCATAGTTTCTGCCACAAAGTTTGCTGTCATTCTCTGTTATTCTTCATAGTGTGCCGTGTGTGTGTGTGTGTGTGTGTGTGTGTGTGTGTGTGTGCGCCTCCGTTCTGACTTTATTAGTAGTTTTGGTTTTATAACACTTGGTAGGGTAAGTGTTCCCCAGCCAGATAGAATATCCATTCTCATAAAACATTCAGGTAAAGAAGACACAAATTATTTGCATAGTCTGGTTAAACAGTCCAATGTTCATAATCCCATCAGCCCTTTCTGTGGTAGAACCTTTATGTTCTCTCAATCTAATTGTAGCCCATGGCCAGGGCTTCACCAGTGGATTTTGGTATGACAGTTTGTGGGGTTCCCATGTCAAGGAGTCCAGAAACTTCTCTTCTTCACATTCTGGCCATTTTATCCACTCTAGTGCAAAGACTTTGGGTCCCCAGTTAAGGGTTGAGTCGAGGGACTCTGGTCCTTTTGTCAGCTTTCATCTTGATTCCTCTCCCAAACCATTACTTGAAGCAATTGTAGGTCAGATTTCTCATTATAATCTTTGAATCTTCGTTTTCAAAATGTCTCCAAACCAGGATAAATAAAGCAGACTTGTTTGGGCTCTTGTGTGGGGTCCTTTTGGCCTGCATCACCTTGTGTAGTACTGTGTTAAAATCTTTGCTTGAACCCCATCAGTGCCCATTTTATTCATATCTAATCATCTAGGCTATAGGTGTTATGCGCTGGGCCGGGGCTGCTGTGGTTGGGGTAGAAGCATTGGGTTCAGTGACATGGATTCTGGGCAGCTCCATCAGCTGAGATTAACCTAGGCAAAGACTGAGGGAGTTCTTAGTGACAAAAGCTTTGGGTGTCCCTGATAGCCACGAGGGCTGGTTGAGTCCTTGGTGGTGAAAGCTGCTGGGGTCTTCTGCTCTCCTTTTCCTCCAAAGGAAGAGATCACAGCTGAGGGGATCCCTTTTGGTGGCAGGTTATTGCTATGTGTCTTTTTTCTCTGATCGCTTTTAACATTTTTCTCTTAATCACTGGTTTTTAGCATTTAAAAAAGTATTTTTATTGATTTCAGAGAGAGGAAGGGAGAGGGAGAGAGAGATAGAAACATCAATGATGAGAGAGAATAATTGATCGGCTGCCTCCTGCACACCCCCTACTGGGGGTTGAGTTTGAAACCCGGGCATGTGCCCTGACTGGATCAAACCATGACCTCTTGGTTCATAGGTCAGTGCTCAACCACTGACCCATACCAGCTGGTGGTTTTTAGCACTTTGATTACATTGTACCCTGGCATGATTTTCTTTGTTTCTTCAGCTTGGGGATTTATTGAACTTCTAGCTTTGTAGATTTATAGTTTTCATCAAATTTGGAAACATTTTAATCATTATATCTTCAAATAGTTTTTTTGCCCCCCACTAGGACACTTCCTCTCTCACTTGTGGGAAGACAAAATATTCCCAGCTCTCCCTGAGTTCCAAGAACTGTTTTGCCTATTGTTTTTTGGTAGACTTTTTAAAAAACTAAGTTGTTTCCTATATGGATAATTTCCTTTCACATTTGTGAGATCAGTACTCAGCCAAAGACTCCTGAGGGCTCACTCTCTCTCCCTCCCTTCTTCCCTCCCTCTCTCCCCCTTTCTTCCTCCCTTTTCTTCTTTCTCTCCATCTCTCTTCTCTGTGATATACTGCCCCATAAATTCTAGCTGCCTTGATTTCCTTGAATACTGACCTCTATCTCCTCAGTTCATTGACTGCTGGACTCTGCTTGGATTTTCACTCCTTGCTCCGCAGCCTGGAAATTTATCTTTAGACTACAGGCCTGGTGCATGAAATTCATGCACAGGTGCGGTCCCTAGGCCTGGTTGGCAATTGAAGCTCGAGTGTCTGGCATGGAAGGGCAGGTCCCAGCTGACCTCTGGGCTCTGGCAGCACCTGGCCCCCCAGGCCCCAGTGCACCTCCTTCCACCTGAGTCATGGTGCCCAAGTCCCCACGCGGAGATGCGGTGAGCATGGTCAGACGCTGTGGGCCTGGGTGCAGCCTGAGCCTCTGGCCGCCCACCAGTGCCACACAGAAGCCGGACAGGCAGCACACTCTCTCCCGGCCGGCCTCGCAGACCAGCTCCTATACGAATCCACAGGGAGCCTGACCAGCTTCTGTGGTCCCAGTGGCTCACCTGGAAGAGGCCACGCAGGTGCAGGGCAGGCACCTGAGCAGGAGGGCTTCCTTGGTGCACAAGCCCTGGCGTCCCGGGGGAGAGTAGCAGAGGGAGTGAGAGTGAGCTTGGTGAACATCCCACATTCTCACTGCACCTCTGTCCCGTCACCCTCGCCCCCAGGTAGCCAGCGAGAGGTTGCAGCACTTCGCCCATTCCTCATGGAGTTTGGTCACTGCCAAGTCAGCGCATGTCATAGCTGACCCCCCGCCTCCCAGTCAAAAGACCGCTCGAGGGGGCCAATTTGCATATTAGGTTTTTATTATATAAGATAGCCAGACCTATTGGAGGGCTCACCTGGTTTTTGTCCCTTCTCTCAGGGATCATAGCCTTGTACTACCTGTTGTCCGATGTCTGCAAACCATTGTTTCGTATATTTTCAGTGTTCTGGTTGTTGATGGTAGAAGAATAAATCCGATCCCTTAGTCTTGCTTGGAAGTGGAAGTCTCTTGTGTACTATATTTAAGAACAACGTTTAACAACCTTTGTCTTCTTTTGGAGGGAACTTGTTTGTGCACAGTAGTAGGAATATTAATTTCCTCTTTCAGTTGCTTGGTGAATAGGTGGCCCAGTACCATTTTTGTGCTACCCTGCAAGCTGGCCTTAAATATAACAGCTAAGTTTGAAACCAGGAGATTTTGGGGCTTGGATTTATTGCTTCCATAAGGCACATTACTGGGGAAGAAACTTAGCTGCAGGAGGCATTAACTGTACTTTCGATGCCTTCTTTTCCTGCCTGACATCCCCCTTCAGTGAAGGACTACCAGCTGGTCCAGAAAGGAGGACAGGAATGCAGTGACTCTCAGGCCCAATTGAGCCAATATTCCCAGCACTTTGCCTTTATCGCCAGTCACCTTCTGCAAACCAGCATGGACAGCCATTGTCCTGAGGCAGTGGAAGCAACTTGGGTCCTGTCCCTGGCCCTCAAAGGATTATATAAAACACTAAAGGTAATGGTGAGCTTCTTCCATTTGCTACTGAATCTGGCTGTGATTTAACATCTGCAGGGCATTAACTAGGAAGAGATGCCATCTGGTTTCAATGGAGGCTTAACTATAGGATTCTGATTACTTTTAAAAATGGTTGGGGTCTTGCACAGGGATAGCTTTAAAGCAGAAGCAGAGTTTTCCTGATAGTTGGTTTTCTGTAGTTGTTCAGTACTGTTTTTTGGGACCACTATCTAATGGGCACAGAACCTTGGAAGATGAGAAGAAAAATGGACTGAATGTCTTCCCTCTGAACCATAGCTTCTTCTGGTTCATCATAGGATAAGAAGAGGGGAAGAATAAAGGGGCAAGCATCCCATGGCATCTTTGAGCAATAGGTTTGTCAGTTGGGGTGGGAGGAGGCAGACAAGTTAAAGAGCTGGGCCGTAGTTGGTGTGGAGATGAGAAGCCTTGACTTATGGGGAACATAGTTCTTCTGCTCTCTGAGGGGCATGGATGAGAAGGAAGGGGTCAGTTTAGGATGATCTTCCCAACAGAGCTAGCCATGAAACAAGGATTGATTTAAAAAGTTTGTTCCTTGACTTTGACAGCACTGGCGAGGAAGCCAGGGAAAGACTCCAGCACCACAGGGAGACTGGATTAGAGAGCATTTCAGCTCTGGCCCAGCCCTGAGAATTTGTAGTTTTAGGATTGACACTATGCATCCACTACTTATTGATATCATGGCATTTATCACAATCTGCTATGGCTTTAGTTGTTTGCATTATAGTAGGTGAGAGAATATAATAAACTCCCTGAGGGCAGAGACCATTTCTGTTTTTGAATCCCTCATTCAATGCCAGATAGAACTGAGTTATAGTTTTGAACTAGAAAGAAGGTCCTTGATCTCATGGAGCTTATAGTCTAAACTGCAAGAGAGACAACAAAGAGCCTGCAAGGAAAACTGTCATGAGTCAGAGAAAGCCTTTTTGAGAAGGTGAAATTTAAGGTGACAGATAAGAATCTGGTTAGGGTGTTGCATGATGGGAGAGTAGCAAACTCCAGGAACAGGCATGTTAGTCAGGATGCAGAAAGAACACCTCCAGGATTCAGGATAGTATAGAAGAGGCAGATGAGACCACAGAAGCAGGCAGGGATCCTATAGGTCAGTGATGGCGAACCTTTTGAGCTCAATGTGTCAGTATTTTGAAAAACCCTAACTTAACTCTGGTACCGTGTCACATATACAAATTTTTTGATATTTGCAACCATAGTAGAACAAAGATTTATATTTTTGATATTTATTTTATATATTTAAATGCCATTTAACAAAGAAAAATCAACCAAAAAAATGAGTTCGCATGTCACCCCTAACACGCGTGTCATAGGTTCGCCATCACTGCTATAGGTCCTTTTCAACTCTTTAGTTTAAAGAGCAGTGGGAAGCTTTTGGAAGGTAGCAAGCAGGAGAGGGACAAAAAAACTTCTGTTGTTAGCACAGGACTTAGCACACAGGATGTATTAGGCTTCAGAATATTTGTTGAATGAATGAATTGGAGAGTGAATGAACAGACATAGGTTATGGCTAAGGTTCAGAGTTCATTCTTCCTTCTGATTCCTCACTTAAGAGTAACCTTGGGCCACTAGCTGAGACTGGGTTCTGAAGGCTTGCTTCTGCCTAGTGATCTTTAGCGTCTTCATTCTGAGGCAGTTGCAAATCATTCTTTTTTCTGTTTGGCAGGCTCATGATTTTGAAGAGACCCATGCTACCTTCCTTCAGACTGATTTGCTGAAGCTACTGGTGAAAAAGTGCAGCAAAGGGACTGGTTTCAGTAAAACGTGGCTCCTCCGGGACCTGGAAGTAAGGGATGAGGGTGGCTCTTCCTGCTGCCAACTGTGCAGATTTCCTGGCCTGAGAGTTAGAGTCATCAGTTACAGCTGGTTCTTCCCAGTGCACTCTCACTGTGCGGTTGTTAAAACTGTGTCTTGTATTGTCTTCCCTTTTTAAATAGGGATATGACACCTGTCCTCCCCTGTCAGGGAAAATGAATTTGATGTTTGTTTAAAGAACATTGGAAGAGAAGTATTTTATATGGAAATATTATATCATGATAATAAAGTGTTCCCTTGATTATTATTTCCCTTTAAAGTTCCTTTGAGCTAAGATGAGTTTCTAAATTTGTCCTCACTTTTGTTGGATGTTAGTTGATATTCTCATTTTATTACTATTCCCCATAGGCGTTAGGTGGTTCTTAATAGAATTTTTATAGTTCCCTGTGGAGTTTCTGTACCAAGTGTCAGCTTCAAGTCCAGAAAAGACTGCTGCTATGTGAGAGGTGGTCAGTGCCCTTGCTCAGCCCACAGAGGCCTGAGCTTGAAGAAACAGCTCGTAGTTGCCACTGTGCTGGAACGTATTAATGGATAACCTGGAGAGCCTGTGAGCTCTTGTTCTTAGGAAATATTTTAAATTAAATTATTTTTTATTATTCAAACAATAGAACCATATTGCAGAAAATTTGAAAAATAGAAAAAGAAAAACTCTAAATTTTATCCCCAAACACAGCTACCTGTTTTTTTCCTCTGTATCTATGATAGATAGATAGATAGATAGATAGAGATTGCAAAATGAGCATGGTGTACAATAAATTGAGATCATATCATGGCCATTTTTCTAAGTTGCTAGTTTTCATAATCATGATTTTTAATGGCTGCATATGATATGTGAAGGTAGATTTCAGTTTTTTGCCATTAATGCTTCCTTGACCATATCATGAATATAACTTTTAACATATTTTACATTATTCCTCAAAGATGAGTTACTGGGTCAGAGACCAAACATTCTTATAGCTCTTTATGTAAATAACCATCTACCTTCACATACGATATGCAACCATTAGAAATGGTATTATGAAAACTAGCAACTTAGAAAAATGGCCATCAGATTCTCTCAGTTCACCAACATGCATTCTAAAAGCATGATATCAATTTACACGGTCAGTGGCAAAGTTAATAAAGTTCCCTCATAGTTTTAGTTAGCATTTCTTTTATTATAAGTATAATTGAACATGTTTTTGTGTTTCTTTTCTAATTATACATTCTTTTTGTGAATCCTGACATCTTTTAAAATGTTAGGTCAGATATTTTCTACCCTTTGAGCAGTAAGGATCTGGGTAATCTTCTCACCCACCACTCACTCACTTTCCTGCCCTGCCTGATTTTCTTTCGGTGTAGATCTTGTCCATCATGCTGTACTCCTCAAAAAAGGAGATCAACACCTTGGCTGAGCATGGAGACTTGGAGTCAGATGAGCGAGGGGACCAAGAGGAGGAGGTGGAACGGTCCGTCAGCAGCCCGAGTGAGCCAGAGCAGAAAAAGCTAGACCCCCTGGAAAGCCTGGATGAGCCCACCAGAATATGTTTCCTGGTATGTTCTTAGGTCATGGCGTGGCCCGAGACAGGGACTCTAGGGATGGATTCTCTTTGGCTTGGACTATGTGTTAGCCTCCACCTCCTGAGAATCACTTTCTGCGGACTCAGTCTGGATTGTGCAGAACCATTGCAGAAGAATGGAAAGGCCCTTACAACAGTACTTCTTAACGTTTTTGGTTCATGGGCCCAAAACCTGTAGATCATTTATCCTATAAAATACACATTGAAATATATATGTACAATTTTGCATGTAATTTCCAACCCCATCCATAAACTCCCAAATGATAGTTCTTCCTCAGTTTCTCAGACGTACTGTCTTACTTTCCCTGGATAACCCACTCGTCCTCAGAATGATGTGAAAATGGGGGAGGGCGTGAACTCAAAGGGTCTAATTATATGAAGAGTAAACAGTATGGGATGGATATCTGAAAAACAAGTACAGTTTTGTTTTTTTTGTTTGTTTTTTTAAATATATTTTATTGATTTCTTACAGAGAGGAAGGGAGAGAGATAGAGAGTTAGAAACATCGATGAGAGAGAAACATCGATCAGCTGCCTCCTGCACACCTCCCACTGGGGATGTGCCCGCAACCCAGGTACATGCCCTTGACCGGAATCGAACCTGGGACCTTTCAGTCCGCAGGCCGACGCTCTATCCACTGAGCCAAACCGGTTTTGGCAACAAGTACAGTTTTTTAAAAATCAAAAGTATAGTATACTTAGACTTATGCGCCAGTTATCAAACGTGAGTGCGAGGCAGTGACAGAGAAGCTAGCAATTAATACAGTGTGGTGGGTAGTTATTGATGTTAGCATTGCATTCTGTTGACATATTTCTTTTGGTGTTTCTGTGTTTTATATTTTCCTTTGAATTTATAATAGGAGTGCAAATTTTACAAATCCATGTTTTAGGGTTTATAACTTTATATGCTTTAAGTACCCATATGGTGTTCTTAAATTATTACTTGTGGTAACTTTAGAACATAATAGTTTTTATCACTTTTGAGTTTAGATGGTCAATAACGTGTTAAAGCACATTAAATTGTCTCTCCTGCTTCCTCCCCGTGGCCTCCAGATGGCTCACGATGCCCTCAATGCCCCTCTGCACATTCTCCGGGCCATATACGAACTACAGATGAAAAGGACCGATTCGTTCTTCCTGGAGGTCCAGAAGAGGTAAGGGCTGTCTGGGTGCAGCTGAAATGTAGCGAGTGTGAGAATGCGCAAGGCAGGGCTGCACTGACTTCCTGCCGGCAGGGTCTGGAGAACAGCTTCCGACAGGCCCAGCGCTAGTGCGGCGCTGGTCGTCAGCGCTTCATGGAGGGATCTGAAAGCTGGCGGTGCTGCACTGCAGATCATCCTGAATTGTGTTGTATGTTCCTCTGGAAAAACTTGACATTTCTTAGAGGAAACTCATTATGGATGCAGGAATGGAGACAGACACCAAGGTTTCTCTCTTATGTCATCCCAGGGAACACACGGTGCAGAGCGGGACCTTCTTATCAAAAGTGTTGTTTTGTTTGTTTGTTTTTCACCACTGCATATTATACTCATTTTTGTTTTTTTCAAGAATTATTATACAGTTAACAATATATGCCTTTCTCTTGGGTAGGAAGTTCAGAGCTAGTTCTTGGGCCCAGCTCTTAAATTTGTGTAGAACTTTGCCTATTTGCAACTAATCCCCTCCTCTGTCCCCATATTCTAGTTTTGACTTCCTATTCTAATGTATATCCAATTCCAGTTTAATATTTCTTTTCATTTTTCATATTTCTGTTTTTCTATATGTATTTATTCCAAATGGCCCCAAATCTTTTGTGAGATGCAGCAGGGTTGCATCGTATAGGGTATAGCCGAAGCTGTTGTAGCTGAGACACCCAGAAATATCATAGGTCCAGAAAGATAGGATTTGTTTTTGCTGTCATGGAACAGTCTGAGGTGGGCAGCAGTCCGGGGTGAGTGGGCAGCCCTTCTCCACAAACGACCCTCTTTTGTTCTCATCCGTGTAGTCCAAGCTGGCTCACCCACACCACCTCTCTGTTCCAGCCCAGAGGAAAGGGGGAAGGGAGGGAAAGGAGCACGTTCTTAGTGCTGTTGTCTGAGAGTGGGCTTCAGAAGTGGCGCACATCACCTCACTGCCCTCCTGTTGGTAAGAACCTAGTCGCATCACTCCATCTGACTGCAAAGGGTCCTGGGGACCATGTCTCCAGCTCGATGATTCTGTAGCTTGCTAAAACTCCCGGGAACTTTGTTCTAAAAGAGAGGAAAGATGGATCCTGAGGGACAGTTTGGATTCTCTGCCACAGGAATACATGCACATCTGCGTGCACGAATAAATGAACACTGTGAATCTAGTTTGCAAAATATGGAAAGTCATGTAACTGTGAAATAACATTTCTGTTAAGTTTCACTGCAAGGTAAACTCTGGCCTGGCTATACCTTATGTACCCAGCTTTGTGCTCCTTCTCTTCAGGTTTGATGGCGATGAGCTCACCACGGATGAAAGGATACGGGCCCTGGCTCAGAAGTGGCAGCCCAGCAGGAGCCTGAGACTGGAGGAGCAGAGTGCCAAAGCTGTGGATACAGACATGATTATCTTACCCTGCTTGGTAGGTTGCCTCCACTTGGAAAAAATGGTCTCTCCCTGACCCCACCCCACCCCTACATGTGAAAAGGCAGGCCTGTGTAATGTGGTCTTTGGGTTTGCAGTCCCGGCCCACTCGCTGTGACCAGGCCACGGCTGAATCCAACCCCGTGACCCAGAAGCTGATCTCTAGCACGGAGAGTGAACTGCAGCAGAGCTACGCCAAGCAGCGGCGTACTAAGAGCGCCGCCCTCCTGCACAAGGAACTGAACTGCAAGAGCAAGAGGGCAGTCCGGGACTACCTTTTCCGGGTGAATGAGGCCACAGCAATCCTGTATGCCCGCCATGTGCTCGCGTCATTGCTGGCTGAGTGGCCTGGGCATGTGCCAGTGAGCGAGGACATCCTGGAGCTAAGTGGCCCTGCCCATATGACCTACATTTTTGACATGTTCATGCAGCTGGAAGAAAAGCACCGGTGGGAGAAGGTAATTAAGCAGGCCAAGCTGGGCACTCACCCCTCTCACTCCTCTGTCCTCTCCCCACCGCAGACCCCAAGTGTTTGAACAGCCTTCCTCCAGCAAGTGCCTTCCTGGAGTGAGCTCACGTGTGGCTGTAGGACTCCCCAGCAGGTGTGAATGCAACACAGGCAGGGTAGGGTCACTGTTGAACTCTCCCAACTACTGGCCTAGAGCTGAGCTCATAGCCTAGGATAGACTTGGTGCTCAGAGTGTTTGGAGAATGATCCCATAAAACTTGTCTTTGCAGTTTTCCCTTTTTGTTCTCACACTTTCAAGTCTCTCTTTGATAGCCTGTCTTTTCTTTTGTTCCTAGCATCTCCCTTAGTGAGCCCAGGGCACAAGGTTAATTACACGTCTGGTAGCCTGTTCCCATCCCACCCACAGGAGACCTCCCAGAGCGGTTTGTGTCTTGTCTTTTCAACCATTGTTTCTAGAATGTCTACCCCAGGTCAGACCCGCTGCCAGCATTTGTACCTGCATTACATTGTGACCAGAGGTGAGGGAGTCAAGTGGGGAGGCTTCTCCAAGGCTTCCAGCTTCTGGGTGGCAGACATGGGGCTCACCAGGGCCTGTCTGTGCAGCCTCTTAAGTCCAGTGCTCTAATTTAAAGTTCAGTTGTGACAGGTGGAGGCCATTTTTTATTTTCTTTTTAAATCAAATCTTCAACTTGGGCATTATGTTTTTATTTTAGAGATAGGGAAGGGGATGGGAGAGAGAGAGAAAAAACATCGATGTGAGAAAGAAACATTGATTGGCTGCCTCCTGCACACACCTCAACCAGGGATTGAACCTGACACCTGGGTGTGTGCCCTGACTGAGAATGGAGCCCACCACCTTTTGGTGTACAGGACAATGCTCCAGCCAACTGAGCCACACCAGCCGGCTCAACTTGGTTTTTTAAAGGAGTGCTGGGTTAGCGATCCTTCACGGGTCTAAAAGCATTTCTTCCACCTCCTGTTGGGTAGAAATGAAGAGTTCACACAGCAGAAAATGGTCTGTAACTCAGGAGGCCCAGGTACTGTCTACCGCTGAACTAGAAGGTTTTATCACACCTTCCCAGTTTCCAGGTGCAAAAATCTTTAGTCACACTTGCTGCTGTCTTCTTCATCCCTGTCCTGTCCCCTTGCCATCCTCACCCCCTCATACACACACATACTCTGTATGTGCAGATTCCTTAGGAAGTGAATTTATGCTCTAATCCCTAATTTGCCACCCATTTCTGAGGCCTCTAGGTCCTTTCCCAACCTCAGAGCCTGGGAGTCACTGGCATGTTTGCTGTAGCCACATTTCTCATTTGGAAGTGAGAAAAGGGGGCAATTTGCCTCTGATAGTCCCTGTCTTGAACATGCCCTTCCCCCATTCCTACCCCACAGAGCTGCTAATTCTGCACCTCACACTGGTCATTTATCCCGTTGTGCTGTCATTGTTTGTCTGCATGTCCATCCCCCTGCTGGGCTCGGGACTCTTCAGGGGCCAGGGTCACCTCTGATGGGTTCTATTGGTTCTTTCAGACTCCCTTCTAGTAGTATTGCTCTGAAGGCCCTGCAGTGTCCTGGTTTTCAGCAAGAGCTCCTTCAGGGAGATCTGGCCGCTGGGGTGGCTTGAGGGGCTGGGGTCAGGGTCCAGGATGATGCCAGCCCCTTCGGATGGGTGTTGGGTTGACATCGACCCTCCCTTCTTCCTGACGGAGCAGCGCCATGGCCCTGCCGCTGACAGGCCTTGGTGTTCCCTGCCTTGTGTCCCGCCAGATCCTGCAGAAGGTCCTCCAGGGCTGCCGAGAGAACATGCTGGGGACCATGGCCCTGGCTGCCTGCCAGTTCATGGAGGAGCCAGGAATGGAAGTGCAAGTGAGAGAGTCCAAACACCCATATAACAACAACACCAACTTTGAGGTACGATCCAGGGTTGGCCAGGCTTGCCCAGCCTCAGGGCATGCAGCTGGCAGGACCCGTTGCTGAGTAGCGAGAATCTCAACTCCCACAGCAGCTCTTTCCTCTCCCGACAGCCCCGGCCAAGAAAGTGCTTCCTTAGTCTCAGCTGCAGTCAGAGATTCTGCACAACCAAGTCTTCCCTTCTCCTGACCTTGTTTGTATAGATGGGCCATCTGGCCCTGAGTGTTTTCCCTGCAGCAAGCTCCTTGGAGTGAGTTCTTGGTATCTTCCAGCAGTGAGTCTGAGTTCAACCCTCACTCTACCTGTCTCCTGATGACCTGGCCACACCTTGGAGACTCCCACCCCTTTGTGTAATGACACAGAACTGAAAAGCCTCATCGGGTCCATCCTTAACTTTGTACCCAGACAGGGGGAGATAGGAGTTTGGATGAGGCACATGTGGGAAGTCCTGTTAGTCTCACTGACTTAAAAATGTTCCTACATTTTTAAGGGACATTTGAAAAGGGCTTTTCAAAACGTTGGCACTGTAAGTCATAAGCTTCTGAGGGGCCAGCACACTATAGCACCAGGGGTGGATGACAGAGAAACTCATGCTTGCTGAGATTTCCTTTTGCAGAGTGTAAACCTCCTCACTCTCTTCCTTCTGAGCCTCTTCTCTTCCTGTGTTCTTGGGTCCAGCCCCACTCCCCCAGCTCCGTGTAGGCACATCTGGTGAGCTACCAAGTCCTACCTCAAAGGGGATTGCCTATCTTCATCACCCCCACTCTCCTCTGGCTTCCTTCTTCTCATGCTGGCCTTGCCTCAGCCTGCCTTGGTCACACCAGCTCTCAGAGCGATCCTTGCACAGCACAAACCTAAGGCTTTCTCCTGCTTACAACCTTTCCAGGGCTCCCCCTGCCATCCAAAGCCTGAACGCCTTATTTTAGCACACCAGGCTTTCACTTCTGCTCCTGCCAGCCTCTCCAGGGTCACCTGTCACCCCGCCCTCCGTCCTTACCTCGCAAGAGTGTCCTCACAGCGTTCAGCCTTTACCCAAGACACAGCAAGCTCCTTGCTGTTCCCTGAACATGCCAGACTTTCCAGAGCTGCTTGCCTGAAATGTAGCCCCGTATGGTCACATCCCCCTCTCACCTTGTCTCCTGCCATTCATTTCTTCTTGGCAGGCCCCTCCTCTCCTCTTCATTCTTGGCAACAACCTGAGCTTCCCTTCACTGGGACTCTCTTCTGCCCTCCCCGCCTTCTCCAGGTGAAGTCTGCCTGCCGTGCCCAGTCTGCACAAGTGTCGTGCCTGCTGTGCTTGCAGCCTTGTGGGTGCTTCCGCCCCAGCTAGACTGAGGGCTCCTAGAAGCAGGGCTCTGACTTACTCTTTCCTACATTCCCAGTTTCAGGACTTGTCAGGAGGTAAGCCCTCAGTAACTGACCAGTAACAAGTGTTCTCATTTCCCTTCCAGGATAAAGTTCACATTCCTGGTGCAATCTACCTCTCAATCAAATTTGATTCTCAGTGCAATACAGAGGAAGGCTGTGACGAATTAGCCATGTCCAGCAGCAGTGACTTTCAACAGGATCGACATAACTTCAGTGGGTCTCAACAGAAATGGAAAGATTTTGAGCTTCCAGGTATATAAATACTTGGTTTTACTAAACTTAATACTAAGAAGGGAAATTATTGGAGGATTTAAAATGGGGTTTATTATATTTCATCAGAAACCCCTCACTTGCCATTCCCTCTTACTGCAGTGTTCTGACCTATCTCTGGTTCTTGTATGACACAGGAGATACTCTGTATTACCGCTTCACCTCTGACATGAGCAACACTGAGTGGGGCTACAAGTTCACTGTGACGGCTGGACACCTGGGGCGATTCCAGACAGGTGTGTGCTCTTCTCTTCCCCTGCACCATCCCCTGCCAGGGCCACTCTGAGGGTGTAAGTGCCATTGTGTCATTGATCTTCATTAAAATCACAGCAGGTACTTTTCTCTAAGACTTCCACGATTTGTCTCGCAAACCCTACATGTGTTACTCTTGAATATGCTATATAGTTGGTTTGTTGTAAACCTGAATGGCCAGAGAGAAGAGCCACCTAAAAAAGATGTTTGTTCTCTTAGAATTTCCAGGGCATTTTTGCAAAAAAAGGGAAATGAAAATGTCCCTATGTTGCTTTTACAAAAGGCATTAATTTCAGGGAACATTTAAATGATCAATTGTTTCATCATATTTATTAAAATATCTGTGTTTTGTGGGGCTTGCCCAGGATTTGAGATTTTGAAGCAAATGTTGTCAGAAGAAAGAGTTGTGCCGCACCTTCCCTTGGCCAAAATTTGGGAATGGCTGGTAGGCGTGGCCTGTCGCCAGACTGGTCATCAGCGACTAAAAGCCATTCACCTGCTTCTGAGGATTGTGCTGTGCTGCAACCACAGGTAAGCTGCCTTCTGGAGACGAGTCTCTTGCTGGGTATTTGTATTGTGAATATCTCCTCCCACTTTGGGGCTTGCCCTTCCATTCATTTAGTGGTGTCTTTGGTGAAAAGAAGTTTCTAATTTTATTTTTTATATATTTTTAAAATATATTTTTATTGATTTCAGAGAAGAAGGGAGAAGGAGAGAGAGATAGAAACATCACTGATGAGAGAGAATCATTGATTGGCTGCCACCTACACACTCCCTACCAGGGATCAAGCCTGCAACCCGGGCATGTACCCTTGACCAGAATCGAACCCAGGACCCTTCAGTCCATAGGCCAATGCTGTATCCACTGAGCCAAACCAGCTAGGGCCTGATTATTTTATTTTTATAGATAACACACATGCATGCACACATACCCTTCTCATCTGATGGAATTTTGATTGATACTTTAGATCAGTTTGAGAGAATTAAGATTTTTATACCATTGAATTCTCTAATCCTCTATTATTTAGATCTTAGTAATGTTTTATAGTTTCCTATGTAGAGGACTTATACAACATTTTGTTAGATTTATTCCTAGGTATTTAATGTTTTTGATGGTATTGTAATTATTATTTTAAATTCTTATTTTTTAATTGTTTTTACTGCTATATAATTAATTTTCATGTATTGCCTTTGTCTAGTGACCTTGTTCTATTTGTTAATTCTATGAGTGTATAGGTACGTTATTCAGCACACGGCCATGTTATTTATAAATAATGAGTTTTATTTCTTCCTCTCAATCTGTAGAAACTCTTTTTGCCTTTTTGCACTAGCCAGGACTTTCTTTCTTTCTTTCTTTCTTTTTTTAAATATATTTTATTGATTTTTTACAGAGAGGAAGGGAGAGGGATAGAGAGTGAGAAACATTGATGAGAGAGAAATATTGATCAGTTGCCTTCTGCACGCCCCCTACTGGCGATGTGCCCGCAACCAAGGTACATGCCCTTGATCAGAATCGAACCTGGGACCCTTGAGTCCGCAGGCCGACGTTCTATCCACTGAGCCAAACCGGTTAGGGCAGGACTTTCAATAGAATGTTAAATAGAAGTGAGGATTGAAGACTTAATTGTCTTATTCCTCATCTCAGAGGGAAGGTTTTATTTATTTTTAATTTTAATTTTAGAGAGAAAGAGAGGAAGAGAAACATCAATTTATTGTTCCACTAATTTATGCATTTATTGATTGGTTCTTGTATGTGCCCTGTCCGACCAGGGATCGAACCCACAACTGTGGTGTTTTGGGATGACACTCCAACCTAGAGCCATACCAGCTAGGGACTCCACCTAACATTTCACTTGAGATTTTTTTCAGTCATTGGAAGTTCTCTGTAACAGCCATTTTTAAAGATGTGTAGTTGATTTACATGAATGTGCTTCAGGCTCTCCTGTTTCTGTGGTGTCTTGTTTTGAAGTTTAGGTTCTGCCCCTTTCCTTATTTGCTGGTGAATATTTTTGACTCTGTTAGGAAGAGGGGGAGTGGGACTATTCTGTAATGATTTTACTAGATGTGGGGAAAGTGAGAGTCAAGACTTGCAGTTCCTGTTACCTACCATCTGTCTGACGTGGTGCTCAGTAAACCTTCCCCATCTCCTCCCACAGCGACCTCTGTGACCTTTCGCTGTTAAAGCCCCTGTGGCAGCTCTTCACCCACATGGAGTACAGCCTGTTTGAGGACGTGACACAGCCGGGCATCCTCCTCCCCCTGCACCGCGCCCTCACTGAGCTCTTCTTCGTCACCGAGAACCGCGCCCAGGTGAGGGCCCTGCCTCTACCCTGGCACAGCGCTGGCAGGTGCTTTTTCTCCCTCTGCTGCCCAGGGCGGGAGAGTAGGACTCAGATCACAGCCCCATCCCCGGCCCTGGTCTCAGCTAACCTGCACAGGGAGGTACAAGTGGCCTCAGTGTGAGGCCCTCACCACCTCAGTCCAGGCAGCACTGAGATTGCTTATTTTTCTAGGCCTAAGGCCAAGGGAAACTGGCTTGGATCAGCCCTTGACAACATTGAGTTTTGGAAAATAAAACGGATGGGTTCTTTCTTCTTCTTCCTTTTCCCCCTCTACTCAGCACAATAGACTTATTAATGTGAGAGATGAAAGGGCCTTTCAGAGTTCTTGAGCGTACCCCCTCCTTTTATACATGAGGAAGCTGCCTCGAGGAGGGAGGTCGCTGCCCCTCCGTCACCCTGGGCAGAGCCCCCTGGAACTAGGCACCCGGCTTCTCCCAGTCCAGCTCCTCTCGGGCTCCTGGGTGAGGTGCCAGCTGAGCGAGCGCTGATTTCTCACCCGAGGCCTCTGTGGTTGGGTGGGTGTCTGTTAACCTGCACCGTGCTCTCCCTACAGGAGCTCGGCCTGCTGCAGGATTACCTGCTGGCCTTAACCACCGACGACCACCTTCTCCGCTGTGCAGCACAGGTACTCTCCCACCTCGCGCTGGCCCTCGTGCTGCCTGCCCGTGGCAGCTGTCCCCATCACCGTGGCCAGGACAGAGAGCCTGTGCTTGTGGCCTGAGTACAGAATCCACCCAGGATTTACACGGAGCTCTGTTCCCATTCAGTCACTTCCTTCAGCGTCTGAGAGAGCAGTCCAGCCCCATCTATCAGTGTCATCCATATTAAACTGTGGGGTCAGAAGACACTAGCAAGAATTTGTGTCTTTTAAACCAAAACAACCAATGCCTTAAATTTACAGTTTGGCCGGTCCCTGAAGTTTCCATAGAGTTAGATTGCAGATATTTTGGGATGTAACTTTCTTTCCTAGGAGAACTCTCTTCTGACAGCTGTTTGGTCTCCGGATCCCGTTTCACTTTTAAATTATGGAGGATCTCAAACAGCTTTTGTTTATGTGATATATATATATATATATTGAAATATACCATTGGAAATTAAATTAGATTTGAAACTTAGAAATTAAGACAAAAATTTTAAACATTTATTATCAATTCATTTAAAAAATTATAAACCCATTCCATGTTCACATGAGTAGCCTGTTTGGTGAGAATCAGAGGGTGGCGTTGTGTTCCATGTCTGAAATCTCTTTAGCATCTGCCTTAATAGAAGACAGCTGGAGTCCCATGTCTGCTTCCACCTGTTATATTACCACACATTAGCTTCTGGAAAACTCCACAGTGTACTTGTGAGAGTATGAAAGTGAAAAAGGCAAAACCACGTCTTAATATCACCGTGGGAATCGTTTTTACTACATGGAGCCCCGGAAAGCGTCTCAGGAACCCGCAGGCCCCGCATCCCCTTCTGAGAAGCTCAGGCTCAGACTCCTTGAACCTTGTGAGCATGTGGCCCAACCCCCGCAGGGGCAGAGGGGGCACTGAAGCTCAGAGGAAGGGGAGATGCCCAGGGTCACACCTGAGTGGGCTCTAGCTGGGACTCCCAGCCAGAGCTTCCCCTGCCCTGCCAACGTTTTTCAGCGAACCCTTCCTCCTGCAAGAAGGGTCAGATGCCTGCTTAGAAGCAGGGGTCCCCCGTCAACTGTGGAAGAGCTTGTGTGAATTCTCCTGAGACCTGTAGGCAGAGTGACACCTCCTGACGGGCGCCCACTGCACTGCCACCGCCACCCCTGGTTGCATGACACGAAATGAAATTTTGACATTTGACCGTTTGGGCACTGAAAGCTGAACATTGCCTATCTCTGTGGGCTCCTCCCTCTTGCCTGTGCCCGTGTCCCGTCTCCTCACCCTGTTTCTGACCTTCCCATAGCCCATCCACTTGGCTGGGCCAGTGCTGCCTTCTCCCCTGCCTGCCGCCTCTTCCTCTCCTGGCCAGTCCTCCACTCCTGCTCCCTGAGCTCGAAGACCAGCCTTGACCTGGCTCTACAGCATCCACCTCCCCGGCCCCTCCCAGCACTGCTTCCTGGGTCCCCAGCACTGCTTCCTGGGTCCCTAGCACTGGCTTCTGTTTCTTCCCTTTTGCACCTTTGTGCTGTTTCCTCCCCTAAAGAACTTTCCCAGGGCCCCACAGACAGTGTCCTCTGTGTCCCCTGAGCCCCCCCTCCTCCCCACTGCGTTTCCCCGGCCCCTCAGGACAGTGACGATTTCTACCTTATGTTTGGAGTTCTCATGTGGTCTCAATAGCTTTTGTCTATTGCTCTAGTCTGTGTTCCTTCAGCTGAGGGGAACCGTATCTGGCTCATGTCTTCCTCACCCCGGCCCCCTCAAGAGCTCAGCTGAGGGTCTTGTTCAGCCAGCACTTAGTGAGCCGAGCAGGGAGGGTTCTTGACACTGGCACTGACTCTCTCCACAGGCTCTGCAGAACATCGCCGCTATCAGCCTCGCCATCAACTACCCAAACAAGGCAACCTGCCTC